ACTCTTTCATAATAACCCACTCTTGATTTTGTAGTTGTTCATAAGTTTCAACGTATAATAGAGTCTGTATGTGTTGCAAAGAAAACGTTAGAAAGTGTGGTGTAACGTTCATCTTAACATAGCAATGTTATTCTCGTCTTAGTTGAATTTGAATACGAGGAAAACCTGTTTCCCAGTAGTTTGTGAAGCCTAATAATCAAATCCTCTTCTTCAACTGATATGTTGCCCCTCTTGATGTTGGGTCTAAGATAGTTCAACCACCTCAGCCTGCAACTTTTTCCACATCTGTTTAAACCTTCAAACCATATAGAAACGTATGTGTCAAAAAGAAACCCAGGATCAGCTTAATAGCAAAGTTTTAAGAGTTTTTCTACTGAAAATAACTTAAAAAAAACTCTTCTAGCTCATATTCAAACAAATTCTAAATAATTAAATTTGCATGATTGAAATATCATTATTGTATATATACCAAAAAAAAAAAATGCAGGTTGTATATATATGATATAGCATTGGGTCGTAGCTAGGTAGCTAACTAACCTGATTTAATTGCAACAGTTTTCCACCTCTTAGCACCGTGAATTTCAATGCATTGCGCAAGTTTCTGATCTTCCTCTGAAGTCCATGCTCCTCTGTTGTTGGTTTTCTTGGCCGTTTCATCATTCTTGTGGGTTGCCATATATTCACTTGAGTTTTGATGTTGAGACTTGTGAAAAAGTGTTCGGTTATGGCGGTATTTATGGGAGAGTCAACATATCGTGTAAACACATGATGGATTGGCGGCAACAGTCATTCATTAACACTATTATATTTTCTTTCATCCTAACACTTATCTATTTACATTTATTAAAAGTAAATAAATTATTTTATATTTTTTAATAAATAGAATAATATTTTTCATCTTAATATTATTCTTTTTAATTATTTTTAAGTAAAAAAATATTATATAAACAATACATTTGTTAATTGTTAATTATTTTTTAAAATTAAAATTTTATATCAAGTAAAATGACATAAAAAATATATATAATCATAAAATTATGAATAAATTTTAATGTATAATATAAATCTGGTATTGACTAATTTAGAATGTTTTTAATCTTAAAAATTTTATAGGTGGTTAAGAATCAAAAAGTATAATTGGTAGTAGAATTTACATTAAAATTAATTATTATTTTATAAAATTAAATAAAACTTACTAATATTATTAAAATGTTATAAAAATATTATTTTAATAATATTTTAAAAATATTGTATAATTATATAAAAATATTATTAAAATCTTTAGTAACATTAATTATATATAACATATAATAATATATCGTAAAAAGAAATTAACAGTATTTATATAATAATATTTTTTAAATCCGTGCAAAAACTATTTTTGTTGTATTGATTGTGGTTGTAGGCTTCAAAGGTCAATGGACTCATCATTGTTGGTCATTCATTCAGAATTTTAAAACGAGAATGAGTGCTTTAACTATCAGGAACCACTACTGTTGTCGGTTCCCGGAAAGTACAATAATTTCTTTATATTCTCCACTTGAAGCTTTAGTCTTCTCCTCAAATCAATGATTTCCCCCCCTTCCTTTTGAGATATCACATTCATGCCAAAATGTTATGTATAGACGTAGACAAGCTTATTTTGTGACTTTGTTTTTGAGAATTCTATTACACTAACATAAATTTTAAAAAGATATCAAAATTCAACCCATCACATATTAAGTCTACCAAATCATTCTTTATGAAGTCATTATCGAATTATTTGCAAATGTGTTTTTCATCGGTAAAAGTTAAACACAGTATCAAGAGATTATAATCATTCATACACATGTCACTAAATCAACTCAACTAAACTCTCTTGATTATCTACAAATGTTTAAGAGAAAAAAGGATTATATACCAATTCTCTTGATTACGTAACACTGTTTTACATAATTTATTTTACTCAATCAAACTTATAATATATATTTCATAATAATTATTTAAAATTCATGTCAATAATAATTTTTAATTAGTTGATAATGTAAAAATTTTCACATTGACAATGTATCATAATTAAACTTAATGTTCAATTTTAATTTTCATTTTGAGATATCCAAATTTCTATGTAAAAAAGTTACATGTCAAATCAAAATAATATATGTAAATATCGAACAATCTTTATTCATGATCTTGTTTTTCGAAGATGATTTATACTAAAACTGAAATTCTATATGCTTTTTATTTTGAAAAATAGTGATTATAAGTTCCTTGAAAAAGATCTTTGACAGGGCTGACCCGTTTTTAATTTGTCATCATCCCAATTTTGATCTTGGGTTGTGTTTGTAGGCCAAGTTGTCAATACATGTTGAATGTTTTCTCAGATTCGTCCTAAATAACCATAATTCGTGACTTTGTCCATAATGAGGGAGTGGGAATCCACAACATGCATAACAGCAGCTTTAAACAAACTTTTGAATAGTAAGAACACAGCTTTCTACCCAAAAAAAATAAAAGGGAAACGTACTTTGCAGGTTCTATTGCCTTCCAATGCCCTGTTTAGGGCTCCTTTCTATTCTTCTCTCCCTCGTCTTCCTCTCTTAGTAATAATAAAAAACTAATGTTTAGGATATATGTATTTTATAATATTTTTAAACATTCATAATGCTTTTCTTTTCTTGTCATGCATCATCCTAATTAAAATTAGTATCAGGCTTGTAACAACTTTTTTCTATTATTAGAAATAATTTCTTAACACCTTAGGTATCATATTATTTCTCACTTTAAACTTGAAACCTAAACATAAAAGGAAATATCTGTACAATTTTTTTAATGCTTGAAATCGTGTTTTTTCCTTCTCTTTGTTTATCTCGCTTTCTACATTTTATTCATTCAATTAAAAAAAATGTCACATTATGTAAAAGAGATGTCTTTTAAATAGGAATTTAAAAGAGATATCCTTTAAACAGGTAAATCCTCCTCCTTATTTTTTTTTTGTTCTGAATTTGGTTGTTTCAATTACTTCACGAGAAAGAAAAATGTTTAAAAGAGATTAGTAATTTCATTTCCTTTTCAATTCATTTTGTGATTAAGTATATCCTTTCTAATACATTAATCTGAAAGAAGAAAAAAAAAATGGAAGTCCTTCGAAAATAAGATTGAGGAAAGTTTGATGCACGTGTTGCAGAATTTTTTACTGAAATAAAATTTTTAAAAAAAAAAATTACCAAATCAGCACTTGTTCCAATTTATTTACAGAAGTAGCACCTTTTATTGTTCACACTCAGAATTCGGTTCTCGGGGAACCGAATTCTAAAATTCAATTTTTTTTTTGCTCAGAATTCGGGAAAAACCGAATTCTGAGTAGTGTTAATTTTTTTTTTCTTTTCTGTTTGTAGTTCGGGTTGTGGGTTAATGTTACAACTAGAACGGCCCGTTCTCCAAGCAGCACGGCCGTTCTGCTTGCACGCATAGTCTGTTATTTTTTAAACTGAAACGTCCAAGCAGAACAGCCCGTTTTGATCCATTCGTCATGTGTGTATTTTTTGCATCCGGAACGTTCTCTTTTCAGAACGGGCCGTTCTGGATCCAGTTTTACACCATGCTCAACTCCAAAAAAAAAAAAAAAAAAAAAAAAAAAAAAAAAAAATTAACAACTCAGAATTCGGTTTCCCGGGAACTGAATTCTGAACGTGAACGGTGAAATGTGCTATTTGGGTAAATAAAGTGGTACAAGTTCTTTTTTGGTAATTTTTTTTTTAAAAAAAATTATTTTAGTAAAAAATTCACGTGTTGCATTGTGGAAAAAGCTTTTCATTTAAAATTCATTTATTGCCATATATATGTGTGTGTATTGTGTGTGTATTTTTTTTATTATCTGTTTTCACTTTTAAATTACAAAATTATTATTTTGTTAGTATTTTAGTCAGTATATTATACAAATTAAATATTTATTATATTATATATTTAAATAAATATTATGTTTGGATATAGTAATTATATTTAAAATTTGTAAAATATATAATTTATAATTTAGATTTTATATTTATGGTGAATAATTTATATCGTAAAACTAGATTTAAATGTAACGTATTTAGAAATTATTTTTCAGAATGTGTTAAATTTTTAATGCTTCCAGAATTTATTTTTCAGAATCTATTTAATACATTCTAATAACTAAGTTCTAAAACATCTACAAGTTATCCAAAAATATATTTCAGTTCGGATATTACTTTATGAAAATAAATAATTTTAAGGGAAAAATTACAAAAATCATAACGACCTGCAAAGAGAAAATGGAGTCACAAATAGAATTTCCCACTAAAATTAATAATGAAGCTTAAATACTAAAATGATCTGTTTAGATAAAGTTTTCTATAAGGACTTATAGAAAAATAAGAAAATAATAATAATTTTTTATTTACTAAAATTAACTTATATATGGGTTAAAAAAAATGTATTTTGGAGCAGTTTTTTTTTTTACACCAACATATTTTGGACAAGTTAAGTTAGAGTTTTATAATTTTATCTTTTAATTAATTTTAAACTTACAATTATTTATTTAAATATCATTAAGCAAAACAGATCTATAGTAACAATATAGTAATATTTTTTTTGTCAATATGTATTCTTATGGGGATCATTTTTCTACACTCCAATTATGCAGAAGTTTTAGTTTAATAAATTAATTGTCTTTTCTTCGTTAAGAATGATCTTGTTATTTTTATTACTTCTTTTAATTACGAAAATCGTGTGACCTTAACTTCTAATTAAGTACCCCATCACTAGTTTAGCTATGACAGAAATAGATTTATCAAGTTGTTATGTCCACCTAGGTCCACAATGAAAAGAACTAAACCTATGTTTGCAAAAGAAAAAAAACTGGTATAATGTTGCGTGAATCTAACAACAGAAAATCCAGTTGCTGATATGCATATATATCGGTTTGAATAATCACACAAAACATCATAAATATAATAACATTATTGTTTTACAAATAGTTCACGCTAGAATAAACCACCTAACTAGATGACAACCTCAACAAACCACAGGATTAGTTTGTTCAAGGGAAACTGTCTTGTGTTCTGGTGATGGCAAAAGCTATGCGACAAGAAGATTGAAATGGCAACATCACAGCAAGCAAATATGAAGAAATATGTGCCCAGTCACTGCCCTCTGTGTCAGTTACCAACTGTATTCATTTGAAAACAAAATCATGTTGTCATTTCGAACCAATTTTTCAGGTTCAAGATTATCAATACATCAGTTCAGAAAGAGACAACTATATATTATATAGTATTCCATAACAAAATGTTTTAAATTCTTGCATACATAACAATCCATTTCATCAAATTGAATCCCATGTGTTTATAAACAGAGCTTTTGATCAAATAAAATGTTCAATTAGAAAGAAATAAAAAAAACACAGACCCTACCATATCAAAGCTTTATCTTCTCCATTACTATCTACTCGGTCTACGTCACAGTACTCTTACTCTACCATTTACTAGTTACTACTAGGTATCAATTATAAGAACTAATATCTATTGAAAAGTAAGATAAAAAAAATATGCTGATAAACATTAAATCACAAATAAAAGCTGGAGACAACCATGTAATTCCCAACATTGAATGCACCTCAGTTTGGCCATTTTGCCATCCTTTTGGCAATGAATTTATGCAATCTACTTAATAAGTGTGTGCTTCTCTTTTCCTAATTATCTCACTTACATTTTGCATCAAACGTTTTAGCGGTACTTTGAAAATTTCTAATTAATCATATTATAATGCTTTTATTTAAAAGGTCTATTAAAGAAAAAAGAAATTGAAATAAATGTACTATCATCCTACACTCTACTCTTACCAACAGAAATCTAAGTGAAGAAACTTTAATACTTCATTTTGAGACAAAGTTACAGTTTGCACCATTTACATTTGTACAATCTCATTTTGTGCAAATGCTCCCCCTGACTGAAACTTCAAAAAAAGTATAGAGGGGCTTAAGGATCCACCAACTTGTGGTAAACTCTTGACAATTCACTAAATTTGCTTTTTGACTTTTCAATGGAAGTATACCATCATTCTATCCAAATTCAACCCATTTTAGTTTTTTCTTTTTTGTAAATAAAATTGAATCTATATCTGTTAACATCCCAATCCAAACTGGCTCGAAGCAGATGGTCCATGTCCATCCATGGACAATTAGTTATGTGCATATTTCATTCTCTTGAAGTGCAAGAAATAAAAATTAAAATGGCAAAACATTAACATCATACTATTTTCAAAATAGTTTAAGCCTTTATTTATTTACCTTTAGATGATTGTTTTTGATGCAGCATCTCATATGATCACCTTTTCATTTATTTGAATAGCAGGAATATGGGCAATCTTAGACCAGTATCTCCCATTCTGACTTCGATATCTAGCTTCCAGCAAAGGACACTCTCGTATACACAGTATTGCAAGAGAGGAAGGCAACTGATCTTCAGGTAAGCACTCAAAGCTTCTACAATTGTACATGTGAAGTTGTTGAAGAGAAGTGAGATTTTGAAATCCTTTTCCTTCCAACAACTTTAAACCATCAACATTGTGTAGGAATAAAATTTCAAGAGTAGTAGGCAGTAATTGCTCCTTCAGAAGAGTGTTAATAAGATCTTCATCACCAAGACCCTTAACTAAAAGATGTGACAGAGATGTGAAGCGTTGGAATAGTAAACCTAACTGTTCTTCAGATATAGATGATAATATTCCAACATCAACAAAAAGTGATCTCAAATGGGAAGGAAAACACCCTGGGGACAATGATGCTAGCTCTGGAAGTCCAGAAAGGTCCAAGTGTTCAAGGGCAGGTAGATCAATCTCATCTGGCAGTGATCTAAGTTTCTTGCAATCAGTGACTATAAAATCAACTAATATGGGAGCTTCCCCTCCAGCTTGAGTAGTAATTACTTCTAAATTAGGAATAAAGCGGATATTAAGCTCTTGAAGTGCAGGGAAACAACCTAATGAAAAGGATGTGAGGGAATAGCAGCTGTTCCAGATTCTCAGTTGCTCAAGTGATGTGAATTTATGCCATGTATCATGAGACAAAAATTCTAATTTTCTACAATTCCAAATGTCAAGTGATCGCAATGACGTGGGCAAACCGTCAGCTGGGAAGAAAATCAAAGATGGGATATTTGTAATAGTCAACTCTTGAAGACAATTTGCACTGAGTATCATTCTAGGCAAAGATGGCAAGCTGTCACACGTTTCAATGAATAATTTACAATAAGAGAAGTTTTCAAGAGAAGACAACAAGCCTTCTTGTCCCTCTCTAATATGTATTATTTCAATTGATGTGTTCCAATGCATATCAGATGATTTTGTCACTAACAGATTGCACTCTGATAGACTAACCTCTGTCAATGAAGGTAGACAATTGGGAAGGTTTCCTCTTAGCTTGGGGCACTTATATAGACACAAACACTTAAGAAAATGAAAAGGGAAGTTGTTGCCTTCACCTTCGAATGGTAGCCACTCTTGCCACTCTAACATATCTTCAAACTTGAGACTCTCCAATGATGGAAATGGCTGAAACGATGGAGAGCCTGCATCGCTGCAGTAGAACTCATAGCCAACTGTCTTCACCATTTTCATCCTTTTGATGACAAGCTCCTTGAGGGAAGGAAGTTGTCCAAATGGAGGAAGTGACAAACAATGGTTGCAATCACTGATACCAATGACCGTGATGTTTGAAAATGAAGAATCTCCTATCCAATTTGGAAAGCTAGTGCCTCCATAACATTTTATGTTGAGTTTCTTTAAATTTGTTGATGGTTGCAAGTTGTTAAGTACATCTTTTCCAATCTGTGGATCATGTGGATCACTGCCCCATTCTAGCATAAGCTCCTCAATTTCATATTTGCTCTTTAAGTCAGCCTGCAATGCATCTACAGGATTAACAACATTTTGCAGGTTCAAAATGGAAAGTTTACCCTGTAGATAAGGAAATTTTCTTAAATCTCTGACCCTTAGTTGTCTTCCAACGATAAAAACCGTCAAGGTACGAAGATCTTGTAGTCTGCATACCTGTGCTGGCATCTCTGGCAACTTAGTGTCACTGGCATCAAGGTGGCGCAGATTAATCAGATTTCCTATATGTGGTGGCAACTCAATAAGAAATTCACAATTTGATAATATCAAAGTTTGCAAATTGTAAAGCATAAATGTTGCTTCGGGTAAGTTTTCAATGGAAGTGTAGGAAAGGTCTAGATACCGCAAGTGCAATAAATTGCCAATTGAATGAGGCAACTTAGTGATATTTTTGTACTTTGACAATGACAGTGTTCGCAAGTATCTTTGTTTTAGCAACCAATCATGTGATACTGTTTTGGTTAAATAACATTCTTTAAATGGATATCCCAATTGTGGCAGAAAGGTTCGCAAACACCTTAGCTCATACAAGCCCTCAAATTTTTTCACAACATCAAATCTCTCTCTAAGAAATGATAAATGACGAACCGTTTTTGGGATTTGCCCCTTTTTCCTGCCTTCAAAGCAGCAAGAAATTCTTCCAGATACAAGCCTAGCTAAATCATAGATAAGGTCATGCATACGAAATTTTCCCTCTGCAATATCTTGATCCTTTTGAATTAAGGATCTAGATAATAATTCATTAAAACAGTCATCACCTGCTGATTCCATTGCTTGCTCTCCGTCAATTTGTTGAAGAAAACCTTCAGCCATCCATAACAAAATCAATTCCTTCCTATCCAATAGATATTGTTTTGGAAAAATAGAGCAATAAGCAAAACATCTTTTCAAATGTGCTGGAAGATGAAAATAACTTATCTGCAAAGCTGGTAAAACATCATCATGAGCCCATAAGTTACTGTTCAAAATTCTATTCCATTTCCCAGCATCATCATTTGATCGTAGAAGACCTCCCAATGTCTTAGCAGCTAATGGTAGGCCATTGCATTTTCTTGCAATTTTCCTACCAATTTCTTCTAGGCTTGGATATTTGTCATAACCTTCATCCCCAAATGCATGTCTGGCTAATATGCGCCAACAATTCTCATCAGTAAGAGGTTTCAGCTCATAAATGGGTAACGTATGTGTGACATGTGCAACTTTTTGTTGTCGGGTTGTCACGATGATCTTACTTCCCCTTTTCCCACTGCTAAAAGGTGCTATTAGGTGATGCCAATCATTATACTTTTCATTCCAGAGGTCATCTAGCACAAGCAAAAATTTCTTGTCTCTCAAGCAATTTTTTAACTCAACACGAAGAACGTCGAGGTTAGTAATATGACAATCTTTCAATGAGAAAGACTCAACAATTTTCTTCGTTATCTTGAGAACATCAAAATCATCTGACACCCATACCCAAGCTGTTAAATCAAAATGCTTCTGCACTTCACTATCATTATAAATGGATTGAGCAAGGGTTGTTTTTCCAAGACCTCCCATGCCCAATATTGTGATCACTTTAGTAACATTAGACTTGGCATCACCATCATTGTTATCACATAAAAGCATGTTGAGCAGCGTCTCCTTGTCATCCTCTCTAGCAACCACAACAGATTCAACCAACGAATCTGTTACTGTTTTACAAGTGACTCTCCTAGTAACACTTTGCAAGCCAAGAATATCTTTTTGTCTCACAAAATGTTCTAGCCTTTGAGATATTGTTTCAAGCTTGAAATTCATGCTACTATAAATTCTTTTAAAGCAAGAAGAAAGCAATGATCTCACCCTGTTAGTAAACCTTTTAGATTCTCCCTCCACCTTGCACCTCAAAGCATATGTGATGATTTCATCCAACAAATCTTCTGCGTCCAAGACAACATCTTTTAACTCATCAAGCCACTCCTTTACTGTAAGATTACTTATCTGCTTCTCTTCGGCATCATTGAGCACGGCGTTAAGTGCCAACAGCTTTGTCTTTAACTCATCCAACACAGCAACATTCAGTTTTTTGCTAGAGAAGAAATCTCGAAACTCTCTAGAAGCTATCCTTTTCAATACGACCTCCACAGAAGCAGAGATAAGTGCCTCTCCCACCATGGCTAAGGCCATTTCTTGTCTTTTTGCAAATTGGATCAGAACAGAAAACCGAACCTCTTATGAATGAGACTGAGTTGTTGTAGAGACAAGTAAGTGTAAGAAATTGAGGTAAGGCTAAAGTCAATTTTGCAATTTCGATGATGTTGTTGTAAACGCGTGCGTATGTGAACCTATATTTTTTTTTTCTCATAAACATTGACTGCAAAACAGGTTTTGAGGATTTAATTCTAGTCAAGGTCCATATGTGGGGGCATATTGCATAAGGTTTATAATTTCCAGCGGTTTCTTATTTTATTTTTATCACCCTGCACATTAACTATAATATCAACCCTAGTATATTCTTCAACAGAGTCGTGAAACTAATACAATATCCAATAAAGAGAAAATCCGATGGCCTACCACGTGTCCCTGTAACTTCTTTCTCCGGCGACCTATGCATTGTTGCCCCCTATCCTCCGCCGCTACTCCGAACAACGACGACGACATGGCCACCAAAACGGCACCGTCCTGCTCGATCGCATTGCATTTTGCCATTGTCGGCTCAACTCGTATCTCCTTCTCTTTATTTTGTTCAACATTTCTTTGATTATAATTCATTTTGATTCTTCTATGCTGAAGTTTCAAATATTCTATTAGTTGTCTTCAATGGAAGCATTAACATAGAGGAACAAAATAACCCAAATGATAAACTTAAAATCAAAGATATGTGAAACAAAAAATAGTTAATTTAGGGGAAGAATTTGGCATTCCTGTTACAATGAAGAAAAAAAAGAGTTAAATTGCTTGCATTTAACTCATGTAATCATAAAAGGAAAGAAAAAAAAACTAAATGCTTCTGATAGAGAAAGAAAAATAAAATAATATATATATATATATATATATATATATATATAAAATAAGTGATATGATGTCATAAAAAAAACAATTAGAAGTGTTGGTAATGTGTTTAAATATTGGGAGTACGGATGAAAACGGGGCGGGGCGGGTACGGGTTTCATGATACCCGTCCCGTTCCCGCGAGCCAAATTCATCCCCGTACCCGTACCTGTTGGGTATGTAATTTTCATCTCCGTCCTCGTCGGGTATCGGGTAAACCTGTACCCGTACCCGTACTCGTATCTGTCAAAAATTTTATTTTTTATTTTTTTTAAATATAATATTTTTAAATTATTTTTTTAATTATATTATAATTATAATTAGGTTATTTCTTTATCTCATATTATAATAAATAATCACACATAAAAAAATATTAAAATTCTTTAATATAATTAAATTGAAAGTGGTTATTAAATTAACAATGGGAACGGGTACGGGTACGGGGCGGGTAGGTACATACCCGTACCCGTACTCGTACCCGATTTAATATATCGGGTTTTACCCGTACCCGTACCCATACCCAGTAAAATCGGGTATTCCCCGTCAAAGTCGGGACGAGTTCGAGTATTACCCGCAAGTACGGGTATATTTGTCATCCCTAATTGGGAGTGTCTAAAAATCATTTCTCTAAAAAAAATATTCATAAAATTAAAGAATATGTAATATCTTATTATATTTTAAGCGAAGTTCTTATAATTTATTTCTCAAAATGATTTTTTTTATTATACAAGTTAAAGCAAATTGTTCTGATTCATTGTTTAAAAAAAAAAATTGCATCTGAGATAAATTGGAAAAAAAAATTGTATTTGTAGTGTAATACTTTTTAACAAAACAAAATCTCATTTTCTTCTTTCTAAAGTTAGTTTTGAAGATTAATATTTATACTAATATATAAAGATATCACTTTTAGTAATTACTTTTGATTTTTATTTTTACATGGATCATTTTATTTTTTATTTATTTTTTAATAATTATATTTTTTTATGAGTAATTTTTTTTTTTTTAATACAATGCAGGCAGAAAGTGTTTTTTTCTTGCTAGTTTATATAACCAGCTTTACTCTTATAACTACCCTAAAAAGAATCATTCACTAAGAAAACAATAAATTCTTCAATTTGGCATTCTTTTTTCTCTAATATTAAGTGGGCTACAATAACCTTTTTTGGGTCATCAGGCCTTTATAGTTTGGCTCATGATATATATATCTCTTTTTTTTTCATAAGTACACTTTCTCTATTTATTTTTTTAAAATTATTAAATATTGTAAACTTTTTTTAATTTTTTAATTTTACACCTCCAATTTTTAATTTGCTACTTTTTTCTTCTTTTTTACATACTTTTTTTTCTCTTTTAGTTTTCACATGCTACCAAAATAGGTATAGTGAAAGAAAGGTAAGGGGTGCATGTAAAAATTGAAAAAATGAGGAAAGATATGTGAAAGAAAAGTACTAAATTAAATATTGTGAATGTAAAATTAAAAATTAAAAATTAAAAATAAAAAAATTAAGAATATTTTAAAATTTTAATTATTTTTTTTTAAAAAATGTATACTTATAAGAAAAAGGAGGTATACTTATAAGAAAAAGGAAGTGTACTTATAAGAAAAAGGAGTTACATATATCATGAACCTTATAGTTTATATAATGTGAACAGCTACTTCTAAATGTCCAAACTAAAATTAACAACTATCTCTGATTTCATCAAACGAGGCCCAAACACTGGAAGCAAGTTTCTGCTGTTCGGCTACAACTGTTAGCCCAAACACTCGAAACAAGTGTTTTTTTTTTGGACAGTTGGTGTATATTAGTTTGGATGAAGTATTCGAAAATTATAATATAAAAAAATTAAAATTTTACAAATTTCTTTCGCTTTAATTGAATTTCTTTCTTTTGATAATTATATTGATAAAGAATGTAATCCTCAATGGAATAATAAAATACTAAAATGGGTGATAAGCATAAAAGAGCCGTGATTCAGGTTTATGACAATGATAGAGTAACTTTTGTCGTAGGGGGAAAAGCATTGATACAAACATGCCACGTGGCTACACTCCCAATCAATCTCATAGAGAGCCAATAATAACACTAAAAGAGGGGCATTTAAGTCATTGAACACTCAACGGCATGGTGCCAAATATGCGACGTGTCCACCCACAACCTTTTTCGTTAAAACTGTCTCTCTATAACTTTTCCGAATAAAGTTAAGCTCCTAATTATCATGGATCAATCATGAACGCCCAAATGTGAAACGTGCATTCAACTCACCATTTTTTTAATTATTCTTTTTTATATATATACATATCTGTTTTTTTTAACGAGGGTTGATTTCAGCAAAAAAAAAATTTATAAATATATACGAAATCCTTTTAAATTTTTAGGTTCATTTAATGTGTATAGTTGCACAAAATTTATCCCAGTCTTTACAATTGAAAATTATTTGTTTTAGTGTATTTCCAATTTCCTTTTTTTTTTTTTTATCTGCGCGTCTTAAAAAAAAAAGTTAACGCAATTAATTATGAATAACATGACAATGATGTTGATGTATTACTAAGATATCATTGATACATGTTATACTTTACGTTTTAATATTTATATTTTCACTATTTTATATTTACGTCTTTTGATAAAAATTAATTACAAAATTATTAATATTGTTGGTTATGTTAATAATATGTATTTACAATTAATACAAATTTAAATAATAAATATTTATGCATATTATTGAGATGAAATTTAACTCTTACAGAAGAACAATATTAATAAAAACATATATAGTATTTTTTGTTTTTAATTTTTATACTTGCACAATTTTTTACATTTTAGTCCTATACTTAGAAACTAGTCATTTTAATTCTTATATAACATTTTTTTTTATTTATATTTTAGTTCTTATCAACACACTTTCTCCCTTATTTTCTTCCATCTTTTTGTTAAGTGAGTTATGTTTCTTTTAAACTTTTTTACATTAATTAATTTTCATTGACATTGAATAAGAAAGTATCTAAACTGTAGAACTTGGATATATTTATAAGATAAAACAATGTAGTCTAAGAAGTCAATTTATGTTGACACTTTGTTATCTTATAACTTTTTAACATTATTATAAGTTGAAATTGACCATATAAAATGCATTAACGATAAATCAATTATTATTAAATTGTAAAAAATTTGAAAGGAAAAAAAAATGTTTCTAAAGCAAATTGCTACTTGAGGTGATTTTTGGGTTTGATGCACAAAAACGTTATATGATATAAAAAAAATTAATTAAATACAAATTTCATGTTTTCAAGGTGTTGTATATAATAAAATCAAAATGGTGTAAGAAGTCTTTATCACCGAAGGATTGACAAAACAATTTGCAACTATTATCTCATCTTCCAAAAAAAATGCATATGAACTCTATAATTTTAAAACACTTCGATTTAGGATCAATAAAATTTAGTTCATGCAAGATGATTTAAAAGAAACACAGCCCTATTAAATTTAAATATGAAGAAGAAATATGGTTTGTAATTAAGAAAAAAATAGAGATAAAAGAAGAAGAAAAATATAAAGAAGAATGCAACCACGTTAAAAGTATTTTTGTTAAATTGAAAGTAAAATATGATTTTTAATTTAAAAAAAAGGTTTGGAAACAAAGTGATTTTGAGGGGAAATAGGGTACATTTACAAATTTAGTAACAGTCCCAAGGGAACGGAGGCTCTTCGATGTGGAAAGCCGAGTCTAGATGTTCAGCTCCGACCACCAGCCACGGCGACGAGTAACGAAACTGACCCGAGTCCATTAAAAGATCAGGAAGGTCCAAGAACGCGTCATCCTCACCGCTTAGCGACGCATTTGACGATTGTTGGGCCTGGGCCTGGGCCTCACAATTGAGTGCGGCTGCTTTGGCGGCGGCGGCTTGGATATCCTTGGGAGAAGTGGTGGGTGGGCGTGGAAGGTGTGAGGCTAATTCGGGGAAATTGAGGAATGCGGATGAGCCTTTGATAGCTTGGGCCGCAACGTCGTGGGCTCGGGCGGCCATCTCGGGCGTAGGAAAAGTGCCGAGCCATATTCTGGACTTCTTTTTGGGCTCTCTAATTTCCGATACCCATTTCCCCCACTGGCGCATGCGCACCCCGCGATACGTTGGGTGATGATGATGATTCCCATCACTGATTCTCTTCTTTTTCTTGTTATTCTCTTCCATGTGTGAGTTGAGTGAATGTAGGTGGTAGCTTAAAATAGCGGTGGGTGCTACTAGCAATTTTTACACATTAAGAAAATGGGCCCCCTTCTAAAAGAGAAACATACACTTGCAATTTCCCCTTCCCTCTCTCTCCCCAGTCTCATTCTCATTCTCTTTTTGCCATTTTCGTTTTGGCATTTTGTGTACCAAACAATAATCCTCATACACATCATCTCTTCTTTTTCCCCTTCTGGAGGAACATAAAAATAATTATAGCAAAAACTATTCATTTGTTTTATGCTTTTAGGGGGAAAAAATCATGGAGAGAGAAACTTAAAAAAATCTACATCAGATTAAGTCCTGTAGAAATTCGAAGAACTGTTTATACAAGACACTAACTTTCTGTTTAGAAAACTCCTTATTTCTTGCTAATTAAAGGTGTGGTGATTTTATGCAGTGATTGACATTGATTTTTTGGCGTTACGCAATCCAACGACATTATTAGTGCCTCGTGTGACTTGGATCATTAGTTGATGCTTACCTCCAAGATTAGGTGTCACTCTGTCCATCTCAGTCTCTTTATCCTAAACCCACAAAAATTAAAAATGTAAAATAAATAAATAAAAGAAAAGGAGAAGAATACAGACCTGAGCTAAGGTCTTTTTATTTTACATTCTAAAACAACTAGGTCCAAACTAATGTCTTTTTGTTACACGAGGAAGGGTTGTTTTAGCAAAATCATAAATTGGTGGAATGGTGGGTCAATATAAAATACTCAAATTGTGTTGCCAAATAATGTCCTCAAATACTCAATGTTGTTTACCCGGAAGCAAGAAAAGTACAAATAAGATTAAAGAACTATGTGATATTTAAGTTTTAGTTCTTTCACCAAAATATTGACTTATTTTCAGGCTTCACATTTTAGCTTAATCTCATTTTGTTCTCCCTAATTTTAATTATTTGTATTTATTCTTCACGTGTTTTTAATTTGTTTAAAGTAAGTCTATTATTTTAAAATTCTATCTAATAATAAACAAAAATCTAACAGAGATATAATATGCTATTAATTTGTATAAAATCATAAAATATATAAATATAAAATACTTAAGTAAAATAATAAAACAAGAATGCCTTTCTTTATTTTTTATATTTTTCATTTTATTTAAATATTTTATACATTTTTTAACAATGTATATAAATTAATGATGTGAGACCCGTAGCTGATATACATTTTTCCCCCTAACTCTCACTCAAACCCTCCCTTTCACTCTCTTTTTCCCTCTCCATTCTCATTTGGCTGAATTCACTCTTGTTGCTTGGATTCAAGGTGCTGAGTAGGTGTTTAGGAGCTTGCGGACGCACAAAATTCTTCTTCCTTCTTTAGTCACCATCTCTTTCAAGCTTCTTCTTCCTTGTGCCTCCCGGAGCTCGGAAATTTTGAAACCGAGGTAAGGGAAGCTAGTTTTCTTCGCTGTTTTTGGATGCCATTGAGTTCAAGTAACTCAATAGTTGTTGAAGAGGTTGATTCTTGGCTGCGATTGAAGGAAATTTTCGTTTTCGGGTTTCCGGGGTTTGGGTGCAAATCTTGGGGATTTCACTTGTTTGATGGTTGCATGTTGGAAATGAAGTGTTTTTCTTAATGCTTGATGAAAATGCTGGTTTTTGCTTGGTTTGCATGCTGGTTTTCTGGTTGTTTTGCATGGTTGGGTGAAATTTTCGAACTTGTTGGTGTTGCTGCTGAGCTTCGCGCTGAGCGCAGTTCTTCGCGCCGAGCGCGTGGCCACCAGGGACTCCATTTAGGCAAGCCCATCGGGCGCAATGATGGGTGCGCCGGGCGCGCTTGCGAATGTGGGTCTCTGGCTGGTCCGCGCTGGGCGTGACTTGGACCGCGCTGGGCGCGATACCAGTTGTAACATATTTTGGGATTCTTGGTTTGGTGCTGAGCGCAATCCTTGTTGCGCTGGGCGTGAGACTCCTTGGGAGTCTCTGCCTTATGGGCGCTGGACGCAATTTGAATTGCGCTAGGCGCGAGGCCTTGGGAGGTCTCTGCCTTCCCCGCATTGGGCGTGGGTTTGGGCACGCCGGGCGCGTGGGACTCCTTGGAGTCTCTGCCTGGCATGCGCTGGGCGCAATTAGTATTGCGCCAGGCGCGTGAGAGCCTTGGGCTCTCTGGTTGAGTCCCGTCGGGCGCGGGCATGCTTGCGCTCCCCCTGGTGCTCTCTGGTTGTACTGCGCTGGGCACAACCACGAGTGCGCCGGGCGCATAGATGATAATTCACTATATGTTGTACAATGTTGTTTTGTGCTGAGATAAGTTGAAGTTGATGATTATGATGTGATGACTAGTAGATAATGTTGTTTGATGATGTTGAGCTGTATGAGATGAATATTGTTGTAAGATGTGTTGTAAGATGATATGTTGTGCTGTAAAGTTGTGCTGTGTTGTATGATGATATGAGTTGTTGTAGGCCATAATGGCTGAGTTGTTGTAGGAGATCTCCGAGATAATATGCGTGACGATGCATTATTTGTCATTTGCTGGTTTGTTGTACAATCAATGAGATGTAGGCTGACGATGTGTTGATAGTTGTAGTTGTTAATATTACTTAAATCTTGCTATACGTTGTTCTTTTTATACTAGCTTAACCTTTGTGTTTTCATGTAGTTGGACTGCTATGATCGTACTATGTACGAGAGCAGAGCAGAGATAGGTGGGTGACTAGTGGTGAGTCTGCAGCTGGCAGGCGGAGCTGATCCTAGTAGATGTTTTGTTGTTTTCAGCTACTTGGTGTAGTACCTTGGATGTATTTTTGTACATTTTGAATCTAGTCAAACTTGGACCATGTATATATGTATATTCTAGACACTATATATATGTATGCACTTGTTCCTTTCTGTCCAGTTTTCAGGTGTACTGTGTAGTGTGTAGTGACCAACCGGGTCGTTACAAATGATACATGCACTTTTATACCATTTTTATTAATTCTTGAATTTTTTTGAAAAAAATTTAAATAATTAGAAAATTAAAAATCAATAAAAACTAAAATTACAAAAATCAAAATTATGCATAAAGTATAATATAAAATAAAATATAATTAATCCTTAAACATTTTAAGGTATATCTCGGCCTTACAGGATCGATGTTTTGCTCTTTTAATTGTCAGTGGTTTCAAAATCTGCATCTAGAACTCATCATCATATGATTTTTCCCGATTTAGATTATTTTCCTCCATTACTTACATATAATATATATATATATATTCAACCATTTATTTATAGAAAATATCAAATAAAAATTATTGTTAGTTTTTAGAAATGAAAGCTATAAAATTGAAATTTGATTAATAGTTAAAATTAAAAGATAAGCATACATTACTTTTAAAAAAATCATATAATTAATAACTAATTTTTAACTTTAATCATTTATTTATGATTATATAATCTAAATTTACAGTTGTTATATTTTACAATAACTATAAGATCTATCTTGATAGATTATATTTTTATCTATCAAAATTAAAATAACAATAACAATATTCAAACTCCAAAACATATGCATACTATCCTAATTCTCCCCCACTAACTTTAATGGATCATTGAATACATTAAAATCACACACATGTGACTTTTATATTTTTTTATTCTGTCATATTATCCACTACGCACACCCATTTTATTTTATTTTCTTTTATGGTATCATATTATCCACACACACGGCCAAGTATACTAACAAAGGATCAGGTCTTGTTAGGATCGGCGGCGTCGCCAAGGACGCTTTCAACGCCAAAAAGGCTTCTTCGCACAGTTCGTTCCATGCGAAGGCCGAGGCCTTCCGCAGGAGTTTCGTCATAGGGCTAATTTTGTCGCCTAGACGCGGAAGGAATCGGGATAAGGCGACTAATCTTCCCGACAGACGTTGCAATTCCTTGAGGTTGCTTTGGCTCCGCATGTCTAGCACGGCCTGACATTTGTCTCGGTTAGCTTCTATGCCTCTCGCTGATAGCATAAAACCCAGGAATTTGCCTCCCCTAACCCCGAAGGTGCATTTCTCGGGGTTGAGTCTCATGTTGTGCTTGCGGAGTTCGCCGAAGATTTCGGCTAAGTCTGTTATGTGTTCGGCAGGAGAATTGGACTTGACCACTATGTCGTCCATGTAAATCTCGATGTTTCGGCTGATTTGCTCTCGGAACACTCTGTCCATTAACCTCTGATAGGTCGCTCCGACGTTCTTAAGTCCGAATGGCATAACTCGGTAACAAAAGTTGGCGTTTTCAGTGATGAACGTCGTTTTCTCCTCGTCAGATGGGTGCATCCTTATCTGGTTGTAGCCGGAATAGGCGTCGAGGAAGCTGAAGATAGAGTGCCCGGATGCTCCGTCGACGAGTCGGTCGATGCAAGGGAGTGGATAGGCATCCTTAGGGCAGGCTTTATTGAGGTCGGTGTAGTCGGTGCACATTCTCCATTTTCCGTTCAACTTCCTGACCAGGACCACGTTAGCTAGCCAAGTCGTGTATGTGACCTCTCTTATAAATCCAGCTTGTAACAATTTCTTCACCTCGGCGTTCGCGGCCTTTCGCTTCTCATCCCCCATCTTCCTTTTCTTTTGAGCAACTGGTCGTGCGTCTCGGCACACGGCTAATCGGTGGCATAAGAACTTTGGGTCTATTCCTGGCATATCTGATGTCGTCCACGCGAAGAGGTCTCGGTTATCCCTGACTACACCTTTGACTCGGTTTGCGTCGGTCTCGCTCAACTGAGATCCCATGTTTGTGACTTGTTCGGGTGATCTGCCCAGTTGAAACGACACAAGATTCTCGGCTGGCTCGATTCGTTCTTCATCTAACCGAGGGTCAAGGTCGATATCCTCCGCCACGTGTTGCCCTACTGCATTCACACCCTTCGCCTTCGGGGAGTCGGCTAGCGGCTTCATTTTGAGGCTGGAGAGATAACATTCTCTTGCTGTTTTTTGGTCAGCATGCACGGTTATTACTTGGCCGTCTCTCGATGGAAACTTCATGCACAGGTGGGGGGTCGAGACAATCGCACCCAGGGCATTAATGGAGGGTCGGCCCAGTAGGATGTTGTATGATGTGTTTGCATGCACCACGATGTATCGGATTTTGATCTCTCGTGAGGACTTCTGGTCGAACCCAAACCGAGTGTATAAGTCAATGCTCCCTCTGGTCATTACCCTTTCGCCGGAGAATCCGACTAGTGGCTCGTGATATGGCTCTAGGCTTTCCTCCGGGAT